GGGACAGGGACGGGGACGGGACAGGGACAGGGATGGGGACGGGGGGGACAGGGGGACAGGGACAGGGACAGGGATGGGACAGGGACAGGGATGGGGACAGGGTGACAGGGGACACCGAGTGGCCAGGGAGGGCACAGTGGAGACACTGGTGGCACTGGGGACACCAGGGACACCGAGGAGACAGTGGGGACGGGAGGGATGGGGGGGACAGAGGGGACAGAGGGGAGCCAGTGGGACCCCGGGACATCAGAGGGACCCCAGGGACGGGTGGGGACCCCGAGGGGCTGTGGGGGTCCCGGGGGTTTGTGGGGTCCCGGAGGGTTCAGGGAGACCCCAAGGGGCTGTGGGGGTCCCAGGGGGTTTGTGGGGGTCCCGGAGGGTTCAGGGAGACCCCGAGGGGCTGTGGGGGCACCCCGGGGGTTTCGGGGGTCCCGGCTGACCCGTGGGACCCTGAGGTTCCGTGGGGGCACCCCGGGGGTTTGGGCGCACCCCGAGGCTCCGTGGGGGCACCCCGGGGGTTCGGGGGCACCCCGGGGGTTTCGGGGGTCCCGGCTGACCCCCGCCCGCAGCACCATCGTGGTGGAGCCGGGCTGCGTGGCCAGCGTGACGCCGCTCGGGGACATCAGCATCGCGGTGGGCGCGGGGCCCGCGCCGGACCCCGGCCCGCGCCTGGAGCCCGTGCGGCTCTCGGTGTTCTCGCACCGCTTCATGAGCATCGCGGGTGGGTCTGGGGGGGGTTGGGGGGTCTCTGTCCATTCCCGGGGGTCTCTGTCCATCCCGGGGGTCTCTGTTCATTCCTGGGGGTCCCTGCCTGTCCCGGGGGTCCCTGTCTATCCCGGGGGTCTCTGTCCATCCCGGGGGTCCCTGCCCGTCCCTCGGGGGTCTCTCGGGGGTCTCTCGGGGGTCCCTGCCCGCCCGGGGGTCCCTGTGCATTTCTTGGGGGTCCCTGCCCGTCCCGGGGGTCCCTGCCCGTCCCTCGGGGGTCCCGGGGGTCCCTGCCCGCCCGGGGGTCCCTGCCCGTCCCGGGGGTCTCGGGGGTCCCTGCCCGTCCCTCGGGGGTCCCGGGGGTCCCGGGGGTCCCTGCCCGTCCCTCGGGGGTCCCTCGGGGGTCCCGGGGGTCCCTGCCCGCCCGGGGGTCCCTGCCCGCCCGGGGTCCCGCCCCGGGGGCGCTGAGGCTGCCGTGGCCCCGCAGAGCAGATGGGGCGGGCGCTGCAGCGCTCGGCCGTGTCCACCAACATCAAGGAGCGCCTGGACTTCTCCTGCGCGCTCTTCGGGCCCGACGGGGGCCTGGTGTCCAACGCGCC